CCAGAATACCAATACCAAATATACCAAAATATACCAAAATATAAAATCATGTTGCACTGAGAGTAACATCCTCTTAGTGAGCAATTTACTTGAAATCACACAATGAGGTGGCAAACCAAGTTAGAAATCAATACCTCCAGTTTCTGAATCGGTGTGATAACCCTTAGACCTCACTTCTATTTAGTGAGCTATAATAAATATCTTCAAGAATATTTGTCTGGTTTACAAAATCTACAAACCTTCTGAACTAATGGAAAAATAGAGAACTGCTTTTCAAGAAAAACTGGTTCACGTCAAAAACATCTGCAAAAAATAAAAGGTGATGTCAAGGGTGAAAAATGAATAAACTTGTGAAAAAGGGACTTTAAAATGGGATGAGATTTATTTTTAATTTAAAGAGCTTTGAAGTTGTAATTAGTCTACCAAAAGAATTACACTAAGCATTCTTAGAAGATAAATCCATTTCTTCCTGATAAGTAGAAATTATTGCCCGTTACTTGAATAATCATAACACAGTGGGAATTAAATGTCACTATATCAGATACACAACTTTTAAATTATTGGGAGGTGATGAATCTAAATGAAATACAAAAATGACATTAAATTACGTTGAAAAGTTGCAAGAGTTCACTCACTGTCTGCCTCCCATTGATTTTTTTGAGCCGAAGTATCAAACATTTTGGTATATATGGGAAAAGAATCACTATTCTCATTTGCTATGGAAAAGTCAAACAGAAAGTCTATAAAATCAAAAAATATGTAAATATAAATATGGAGAGGGTGAACAAACTGAAGTCAGTTGACACTTTAGGCTTCAAAATGGTAATAAAATGCCAAATAAGAACAAACCCCTTCCTTTCATAACAGCCAGTGAAACTTATAAAACCCATTACCTATAAGATGTGGTCCAAGATGGTGACATTGAGGCTCTCAAGCAAATAAAGTTTAGCTAAGTCTTTAGTGAGTGAAATTTCACTGGGAAAGGTGGGATATTTGAGGATTGGCTCTGATACACATGTCGTGACAGAACGTGTTACTTAATGCCACCCCAAATTAAAATACTGAGATGAGATAAACCATGGGTCAACAAAAGTCACTATATCATAAAATTTCTGAAACAGAACCCAAATCTGCAACACTGAAAACCCCTTTTCTTAAGCTTCTGTGTTTCCGGGGATTTGCACGTGCTCTTACCTCTCTCTGGAATGCCCTCTGTCTCTTGTGCCTAACAGCTGTGTGCCCTCAGCCCTCCCCTCGGTCACCTCAGTCCTCATTGGCTGGTACCAACTCTTGCTCCAAGTCTCCACTCAAACGTTTCTGCCCGTCAGAGACCTTTTCTGATCCTCCATCCTAAATTAGGTTCTCTAGCGCTGTACTATACAATATGGTAGTCCTAGCCCCAGGTAGCTATTGAAATTTAAATTTAATTTAATTAAAAATTAAGTTCCTCTTGTCATATTAGCCACATTTCAAGTATCTGGTAGCTGTATGTGGCTAGTAGGTACTATATAGGATAACGCAGACTTAGGGATTATTTCCATCGCTGCAGAAAGTTCTATTGGATCCCACTGTTCTACATTGAAAAGATGAATGAATGCTCAGTCACTAACACATTTGTTCAATCATTCAATCAATATTTATTGAACACCATCTATGTGCCAAAGTGCTGGATGCAAGTGGATACAGTGAATAAAGCTAATGCAGTGCCTGCCCTCTTGGAGTTTACAGTCTAGCATTGGGGACAGACAGTAAATATGTACAACAAACAAGATTGTTTCCA